TCCTATATGCACACGTTGACCCTTCGGCGTTCGAGGGAAAAAACTGATCCTGCTAAATTAGCTCGAGACACTGGCTGCAACTCCACTGTGCTAAGGCAGCCCGAGACGCGCCCCACGACATCTCAGGCAGCTTTTTTTTTCCATCCTCGGACAACAGATGGGAGGACGAGAATGGAGCGAGAGTAGCAGCAGGGGGGGGAGGGCAGCGGGACTTCTTCCCCAACGCACGAACACTAAAGCGTTTTTCCTCTGCTATTGCTGCCAAGGTGGCACGCAAAAGGCGACGGCGAACGAGTCTGGCCATCTGCTCTGAGAGTGCAACCTTCTGCCGTAGCAGCAGGAACCCGAGCCTCGAGTGCTGCAGTGCCCGCCACCTCATCGACGGCTTCGTTCCCGAGCGCCAGCCATTGAAGGCTCGAGTTTGACAGGTCGCGAGCAGACTGGCGTGACGAAACCTGCGGGACAGCAATGATATCGAAGTCGCGGCTGGTACGCAACTTCCCGAGCCTAGACCAGAGATCGGCGCTGTCGCCTCGGGGGTGGGCGAAACGCTGCTGGTGCCGCCCAAATCATGACAGCCTCGTTATCTGCGATGTAAAGCATGGCCCCAGCACTGCATTCAACTGCAATTATCAGCCCCAGAAGCCCCCCCCACGGGACCGTTTGACGTCGCCCTGGCAGCGGGCCTCGGACAGAGGCATCGATACTAAAAGGGCTGGATGAACAGATCGCTACCACTCCGGCGCCGCCGAAGAGCAGCAGCGGCTTGGATGTTGCGCCTGCGCCCAACGATCCAGCTCGCAAAAACCCTCCACCCCGATAGCCAACCACGACGGCTCGCACGGAGGTGCGGGGACGGACGTCCACTCTGTGGGTAAGAGGCCTCGCAGCCAAAAGCATGGCTCGGATTCGGTTCGTATTGAGCACATGTCTGTGCTACCACAGACTCCGAGGGTTCGAAAGCTGGCGAGCCCGTGTTCTTAGGGCAGGGCCAGCGCCGATCAAGCGCTGTCTCGGGGGCCTCGCTGCATCTTGGGCACGCGGTGCCCTCCAGACCCCCGACCTCGTCAGAGACCCTCTGCAAAGGTCACGAGTCACCTGCTGCGATGCAGAGCATCAGCTCTGCGAGCTGATGGCCCTCGTAGGCCCGATCTTAAGATTTAATGCGTATACGATAGGACCTGTTGTCGGCCCCTTGCTCTAGCCCTCCGCCGCAGTAGTGGGTCGCTGCGCTCTCGCGCTGCCTACGTTTGACGGTGGACTCAAACTCGTGGAGGAGATCGCTGAAATCCGCGTCTGGCCCGAGGCCGCCTTCGAAGATGAAGGCCTCGCGACCGTCAGCCCCTTCTGGCGTGGCGCCCCATTCTGTGGCCGCCACAGGGCCCCAGTCGCACTGTAAAAGGTAAGTGGTAACTGCAGAAAGAAGGCCTTGTGCCATCTCTCTGAACTGCTTCGCCTCAGCCAGCCATGCTCACTGGATGCGTGGCCTGGGCCGCGCCTCGCTGCACCATGTCTGTGCCCGCGACTTCAGGCATTCGCACGGGATGCGGTAGCCTGGGCCCTGATCAATGTATCTCAGGCCTTGGGTCGTCGTCAAGCAGCGCCCCCGATGTGCTGAGCTGGCGACATGACCCAGGCGCCTCCGCATGTTCAGCATGGCCGACCCATGTACTCCGTATGCTTGGTGGCCGTTGTGGCCGGCAAGTTGTGCTCCAGCAGCTTCCAGCTTCAGTCGGTCTGCACCTGCGACCCGCCCCAGCAAAGCGAGCAATCCGACCGTGCATGGCGGTCGCCTTGCTCACTCGCTTGCGTTGGGTGGTCCGAGCGCGTCGACCTGCCCCAGTGTCCACCCCGAAGAAACTCGTCTGGAGAGCGGCCTTCACCAGGATGCCACGCCGTCGGAGTCGAGCCATAATGTGCTGCGCGTCCTGGTGCTTGGGGCAGATCACTACGTTCTTGCTGGCCACCTGGGGTCCCTCTTGACCGAGCAATTCACTGGTTTCCCGAAGTACCCGTACCAATGTCTTCCTGATATGCTGACGTGATCCAACTGCAGACTGTGAAAAATCATCGATCCACAATCGCACGTCGCGGGTCGAGGTCAGCTTCCCTCGGATGAAGTAAGTCATGCTGCGAGCGAACCTCGCGCCGCTGCGCAACCCCTGGATCACGCTGCGGCCCGGCTGAAATGCCCCCGAGAAGCACTCGCCCCGCGCCGGCGCCCGCGGCGCCAGGCAGAGCTGCAGCTCCAGGGAAATAAATCGCGGGCGGGAAACCCAGCGCCAGCGCCGCCTTGGCTAGACGGAGCCAACAAATACTGTCGCAAAGTGATTGGATGTCTAGGATCCCGTGCCCGAGCGCCACGCCCAGCCGAGAGTGCACCTCCTCGCCCAAGATGCGGAGGAAGGCCCCCCTCAGCGCCGAGCCCCCTTCCTCCGCTGCGCCCCAGTGGGGCTGAGACTCGCGCGCCCATTCCTCGATGAGCGGCTCGCGCGCCATGGGCCACATGTGGGGCGCCGCCCCCGCGAGGCCGATGGCCCTGTCACCGCCAGCCTTCTTCGGCAGGAGGCGGCCAAAGGGGCTAGCTGAAACGCGCCTCCGCGGGCGGGGGCACCCGCGCCAGGTTGTCGAGGCCCTCGGGCGGCAGCCGCTCGACATCGAGCGGAGAAAGCCGATCTCCCTGTCCCGCTCGGGGCCGCATCCTGCGTGCAGCGCCCCTAAGCGTCTCCCCTGTCAGAGGAAGCAGCTCCTGGAACTCCGCTTCCGACATGATCGCATCCATTGTCTATAGCAGTTCCACCTGGCCCAGTGGTAGACTGCCCCAGATGTCGCGCCACTCCTGAACTTTTGGCTCGAGGGCACCCATGGGGTGATGTAGAGCACCAGCGGGGGTGATGACCTCCAGCGGTGCCGATGGGATCTCCTTAATGCTCTTGTGTGTGTGTGCGTGTGTGTGTGAGATGCAGACTGGGTTGTGATCGACAATCCAGGTTCGAAGCTCTTTCAAATAAGCATGCAAAGCTTTGCCACGGGCCCTGCTAGCTCCCTTCTCGGCCACCGCCGCCATGCCCGCCAGGGTCTCGAGCGAGTGGTCGTTGGAAGACTCCATCCACATGTTCCAGCCAGCTGCTCCATGACCATGCCCTGTGCAGGGCGAGATGTGCCTGGGCAGGGTTAGTCTGTGACGAGCTTCTGGCGTGCCTGGGAAGTAGCGCGCTGCCGAGAGCCATTGCCTCGCCGTCGGCGGTGCGCCAGGCGTGCCGGCGCCGCTTGACATCGTGACCGCCACGTGCTGCAAGTGTCCAGCAGAGGGAGAGCACGGCTGCGCCCTGACATGCGGACCTCGTGAACTCGCAATCTTGGCCCGCCCGCTCTGCGTGGGCGCCTGGCAGAAGGGATCAGATCGCGGTGCTCATGGGCCGCCCCCTCCAGCGCCATCGCCCATGCTCCATAGAGACAGCCGACATGATCGACGCGCGATGTTCCGTCCTTGCGGGCCAGAGAGTCTCTGATCACACCCCGGGAGCACGGGGTGGAAAAAGAACCAACCTGGGCCCTGCGCGCGAGCCACAATGGCGACGGAAGAGCAGAAAGGAGGGGAGGGAGGCAACATCACCAGCAGCCGTGCAAGAGGGGGCCGCCAAAAGGTCGTGAGACTCTACCTGCTGAACCCCGGGCGCCTGCACTGCGAGGCTCGCCGTGGCCTGCGTGGGACTCGGGGGGGGCCATTGGGCTCGACAAGGGGGTCCTGGCCGCGCCTCCGACACCGCTGGCTCCAGAAATCACGCCACCGGGGACAGGTGCCCCGTCGCAGGCGCCAACATTCCCGTCGTGGGCCCACGGGCCCCCCCCCTCTTCATCCCAGGCTCCAATGTCGAAATGTTTAAAACTTGACTTAAATCGTAAGTATACCTTCCCTGGCGAAGTGAAGCGGGACCCTGGGAGTTGCCCCCTGGCTCGCCTAAAACATCTCTGACAAGAAGACTGGCTTTCCTCTACGCAACGGGCTCGAGCGGCCTCCTGGGCCCCCAGACGCCGAGCTGTGGCCCTGGAGGGCCCGGGCCCAGGCGAGGGGGGGGGGGGGGCGCGGGGGCCGTGGAAGCTTGGTCGGCAAATCCAAAGAGCGCGCGGGGCGCTGCGCAGCGGCCCCCCTGGAAAGCTTCGGCAAGCCGCAACGCGTTTTCCACTGCATGTCTACACTGGCGTCTAAAGACAAGACATGCGGCGCAAAACTCGAGCTCGCCGCGGCATAGTCCATCTCTGAATCTTTGGCACCTGCAGCGCACGTCACCTCAACATTCGAAGCCCGCAAAACATGGCCCTGGACTTTGGCCAGAAAGCCGCGGGTCTCTAAACTGGATGATGGCATTTTCCAACCATCGAAAACTACCCTGTGCAACTGGGGGCAAGACAAGAGGGCCCCGAGCCTACGGAATCGTCGGAGGTTCCTCCCGCACCAACCTTCACTGGCAAACCCATAGAAACAAACTGACACGAAGGAACAACCGCGCATAGATGTCACTGATGCCTGGATCCCATCTCGAGCTTCGTGGCCGTCTGCCCTCAGCGCGTGCCGCGACTCCGCCGAACCCCCCGCGCTGCGGCGCCCCTGCGCCAGTAGCCACTCTCCTCCATCATTGGCCCGATGGGCCTGACTCGAGGAGGACCCGCCGCGCCCGGAGGGTCTGGCAGGATTGGCCAGCAAGCGCAGCTTCGCCCCCCAGGCCTTCCCACCCCACTCGGCGAAGCCTGAGGCGTCCATGTGAATTTCGACCAGGCCCATGCAGCGGCACGGCTGCTCGACCACGTACTCCCAGGCCCGCTTGCCAATGCATGTCACGCTGGCGAACAAGAAGGTGCTGTGCGAATATGAATTATCTGCATCCGAGGCGGCATCAGCGCTGCCTCGCCGCGCCGCCCTCGTCCTCCGCGACGTGCCAGACGACGGATTCGGCGATGGAGGGGGGGCGGCTGCCGCTCTCGCTTCTGCTGCTCAGCGCCAGCCGCCGCCGCGGCCGTCTGCGCGGCAACCTCATGCGCCTGCTTCGCCGCGCGCGCCGCCGCAAGCTTGGCCGCGCTGATGCGGTCGGCAGCCTCCTGCGCGCGCTGCGCCTCGGCGCTGGCGGCGTCGGCCTTGGCGACGCCGCCTGCGGCGCCACGCGCCGCCGCCCCTGCCGCTGGGGCCGCCGGGCCGCCGCTCGCGCCTGAGGCGCCTGCAGCAGCGCCGCCGCTGCCGCCCGCGGCGCGCCCGCCGCCCGCGACCGCGTCGTCGCCGTCCTGCCGCCTCTTCTTGCTGAGCCGCTGGTCGATCTTGGCCCGCAGGGCCGTCGCCCTCTCGTTCCAGGACTTGACCTGCGAGTGCTTGCGCGCTGCGCAGCCCCTGCTCAAGCTGCTTCAGCGCCTACCGTCGGTGTCCTCGATGTCCAGGGAATCGACCGGCTGGAAAAACTCCTCACCGATCCTCACTTCGAAGAGTACCCCCTTCACTTCCTCCTTCGAAGCCTCGCTGCAGCCGACGAGGCCCTTCTTCGCGGCCATGCCCTGCGCCGCCAGGTGCCAGGCCGCCTCGCGCCCCCTCTGCTGGGCCTTGGCGAGGTTAACGGTTAACCTGCACCTTGACCGCTGCGTTGATCGCCTGGTCGTGCTTGAGCGACGCATCCCTCCACGCTCCTGAGGCGCGCCGCAGCGCCTCCCCCTGGCTCTGAGGAGGCGTGGCCTGGGGCGTCTGGGGCTTGGCGATCTCGTCGCTCAGCAGCTTCTTCAGCAGGGGATCCTCCGTCGATGTCAACGCGCTCTGCATGAGCTCGAGGCGGTCGGCTGGACTGGAGGCTGCGGCTGCTGCTGGTGGCGCTGCCCCTTTGTCCTTGTCTCCCCCCGACGTTCTTCAGCTCGTTGGACCGCGCGGTGCCGGCGCTGGCGGGCTTCTTCGGCTTGAAGAGCTCCACTTGCCTGCCGCACTTGCGCCGTCTGTCTCGCTCGACGAAGATCGCGTTGTGCTCGCGTCGCCCGCAAGCCCCGCACTTGCTCCACGTTTCATCTGGACCTGCTGCCGACATTCTCGACTTTGCCAAGCCGATCTACCACCGAATCTGCCGAGCCTGGCGCGGGCGCAGTGGGCGACGACTTGCCCCTCGAGCCCCCTCGCGGCGGGGTCGACGCTTGGGCGCCTGCCAAAGTGGCGCGGGCCCAAGTGGCTTGAGCGGAGGAAGGAGAGGAGAAGGAGGAGGAGGAGGAGGAAGAGGAGGAGGAGGAGGAGGAGGAGGAGGAAGAGGAGGAGAAAAGGGAGGAGGAGGAGGAGGGGGAGGGGGAGGAGGAGGAGGAGGCGGAGGAGAGGAGGAAGGAGGAGGAGGAGGAGGAGAGGAGGGGAAAGGGAGGAGGAGGAGGAGGAGGAGGAGGAGGAGGAGGAGGAGGAGGAGGGGGAGGAGGAGGAGGAGGGGGAGGAGGAGGGGGAGGAGGAGGAGGAGGGAGGAGGAGGAGGAGGAGGAGAAGGAGGAGGGGAGGAGGAGGAGGAGGAGGAGGGGGAGGGGGCTGGGGAGAAGGAGGAGAAGAAGGCCGAAATGGAGGGAGAAGGAGGACGAGGAGGAGGAGAGGAGAGAAAGAGGAGGAAAGGAGGAGGAGGAGGAGGAGGAGGACCGGGGGAAAAGGAGGAGGAGGAGGGCGCTGAGGATAAGGAGGAGAGGAGGGTCGATGTGGACGAGGATGGGGGGAGAAGAAGAAGGAGGAGGAGGACGACGACGACGAGAAGTGATGATGATGACGGTGGTGATGATGCTGCTGATGAGGATGATGATGATGATGAGAATGAGAATGGTGATGCTGCTGATGGGCATGATGCTGATTATGATGATGATGGGGACGAGGAGGAAAAGGGGGAGGAGGAGAAGGAGGAGGAGGAGGAGGGGGCTGAGGAGAAGGAGGAAAAGAGGGTCGAGGTGGAGGAGGAGGAGGAGGAGGAGGAGGAGGAGGGGGCTGAGAAGGAAGAGCGGATGCGGAAAAGGAGGAGGGTGCTGAGGAGAAGGAGGAAGAGGTGGAGGAGGAGAAGGAGGAGGAAGTGGAGTAGAGGGTCCAGGCGAGGAGGAAGGGGAGGAGGAGGAGGAGGAGGAGGAGGAGCGAGCGAGCGAGCAGAAGCCGAGAGGCGGTCGGACGGGCCCGCGCACGGGCCGAGGGCTCGCAAGAGCCGAACCCGAGACCTCAGATGGCTGCAAGAACGGAGCCACAAGGGCCCAGAACCGCCTTGCAGCCTCCGAGGTCTCAAGTCCAACCCTTGCGGACGCCTGGGGAAGCGGGCCTCGCGCCCGCCAGGGAGCACGGAGCCTGCGCCAGGCCCGTGCTCACCAGCTCGCAGCCCTCCGACGGCGCTCCCAGGGCGCCGAGGGCTCCCAGCGAGTCCAGCACGGTGCCGAAGTCCAGCACGGTGCCGAGCTTCGCCTGGCCCAGCAACTCCAGCAGGAGGAAAAAGCCAAAAACGCCGAAGGTGTCGGCGGAAAAGCTAAACAAGTTCAGCCAGGCTGGATCAAACACCACGACGCCCGAGCTGCAATGTCCAGCAAAACCCCCCCCGCCCCTGCATGCACTGTTGCCCGCCCGCGACCAGGTCCAGCGTGCGGGTGCCCAAGCAGGGGCCAGAGGGGTGGCGACACGAACCTGGGCATACCAGGATTTTGATGGCAAACTCCAAGCCGTGTCGCTACACCATATCAGGGTCGACATCATCATCACTGTCGTCATCTCTTGGAGCTCCCAACTCCAAAGCTTCAGGGAAGGTGAGTCCGTGGTCGAGAAGTACAGCGGACGTGTCTAAATATCTCTGCGGAGGAGGAGGAGGAGCAGCAGCAGCAGCAGCAGCAGCAGCAGCAGCAGCTTCACCACCATCACCATCACCACTCTCACCAGTAACTCTCGGAGGGTTCGTTCGCGGGGGAACTGCGCATAGCTCGCCGACGAGTCATCGCACGAGGCGCAAATTCAATGTTTGGCAACTTGGGCGGGCGCAAGATGAGCCGACACCTGGACAGAGTCGAACGTAGGAAAAGCAGGGGCCGGGGGAAACAAGAAAGACAGAGAGGACGGGAGCGACGCGGAAAGAGAAAGACGCCGCGGTGGCGGGCGAAAGGGGGGAGGGACCGAGGACGGACATGCCAAGGCGCGGGGGCTGCTCATTTCCGAACGCTTCGTTTTCGCAAGCAGGGCTTACTTCTTCAGGATGTCATACTTGTGCGCCTTGCCCTTCTTGTGATTCCTGCTGTGTTGGCTGAGCTTCTGCGTCAGGAGCGCAGCGAAACCCATCGTGCCCTTCGCCGCCGAGTCGAAGAATGCGGATCACATTCCGCGAGACTGACGACATCCAGTGAGCTTGCCCTATCGCCGTGGCCAACGCTCACCCAAAATGGCGCTGCACCATTCCCATGGCCAGGAACGACGTCGCGAGGGGGCGGGGCGTGCCAGTCGCGGGGCTCGGAGCAAGCCGCGCTCGCGGGGCGACCCTCGCCATCGGCCTCAGCTCGCGCGAAATCAGTCCAGGCGCCGAACCGCCGAGAGTCGGATCTTTTGTTTCTCCCCAAAATGGCGCGTCGCATGACCCGCCACCGCTCGCGAAGCAGCGCGATGATCAGCGCCCCCGCCCGCGTGGAAACGAACGCCGCATGGGGGCGAAGCGGCGCAACGACCGCCCCGCGAGGTGACCCAGGCAAGCGCCATGATCGCGCGGATGGGCGCCAGCAGCGGGTGCGCCAGCAGCGGCAGCGGGACCCGAACGGTTTCGGCCCGAACGTCGATGGGAAGATCTTGCTCAAGCAGATGGTCGCCACCAGCGCGGGCATCGCCGGCTGTGGGTCCATGAAGAACAGCATCGTTCCGAACGACATCGAAGAACACATCATCACGCGGAAGTGCGCCACCAGCGCGCGCGGCACCAGCGGCAAGGGCACATGCAGAGCGGCGTTGGCCCGAACGGCATCAGGAGCTCCGTGAGCACGCGGACGGGCGCATCCAGCGAGAACGCCAGCAGCGACAGCGGCATCATGTAGAATGGCTTCGGCCCGAGCAAGAACGGAAACCCATAACTTCTCATCAAATATGCTCATGCGGATGTGAGCCACCAGCGAAACCATCACAAGCGGCAGGACGACCATGCCGAACGAAGCCTGTCCGAGCGTCATCGGCAGACCCTTGATCCAGCGGAAGGGCGCCACCAGCAAGAACGGCACCAGCGGCAGCCGGACCATGCTGAACAATATCGGCCCGAGGGGCATTGGGGGCGTCTTGATCGTGCGTTTGAAAGCCACCAAGAAAAGCATCGCGTGCGGCAAAGGGCCCGTGCAGGGCGGAATCGACCCGCACGGCTTCGCCGCCCCCGCCGCCCACTTCGGCCCCGCCCCCCCCCCTCGCGCGCTTCGCGGCACCATGCAGGGCTCCACCGAAAGTCCCACTGGCGCAGCCCGCATGCGTCCCCGCCATCCGCGTCGGCACACCCCTCACACACTTCGTGGCTCCATAGGGAACCCCGCCGAAAGTCCAATTATCGCAGGTCGCATGCGTCCCCGCCACCCATGTCGGCACACCCCTCACACGTTTCGCCGCCCCATAAGGAACTGCACCGAAGTTTTCACCTGCGCCCCCGCCACCAATTTCGGCACACGCACACACACACACACACGAACCACGTTCGTGGCCCACCGGGAACTCCACCGAATGTCTCAGCGAGGCAGTTCGAATGCGTCCTCGCCACCCATGTCGACACATCCCTTCCCACGTTTCGTGGGCCCATATGTAGGGGGCTCCACCGACGATCCCAATGGCGCAGGCCGCATGCGTCCCAGCCACCCATGTCAGTACACCCCTCACACCTTTCGTGGCTCCATAGGGAAACCCGCCGAAAGTCCAATTGTCGCAGGTCGCATGCGTCCCCGCCACCGATGTCGGCACACCCCTCACACCTTTCGTCGCCCCATAAGGAACTGCACCGAAGGCCTCGCATGCACCCCCGCCACCCATGTCGGCACACACACACACACACACACACACACACACACACACACACACGCACACGCACACGCACACGCACACGCACACGCACACGCACACGCACACGCACACGCACACGCACACGCACACACACACACACACACACACACACACACACACACACACACACACACACACACACACACACACACACACACACACGCACGCACGCACGCACGCACGCACGCACGCACGCACGCACGCACGCACGCACGCACGCACGCACGCACGCCACGCTTCGTGGCCCCACCGGGAACTCCACCGAAGGTCCTAGCGAGGCAGTTCGCATGCGCCCCCGCCACCCATGTCGACCCATCCCTTCCCAAGTTTCGTGGGCCCATGTATAGGGGGCTCCACCGACGATCCCAGTGGCGCAGGCCGCATGAGTCCTCGTCACCTATGCCGGTACACCCCTCACACGTTTCGTCGCCCCATAGGGAACTCCACCGACGGTCCCAATGTCGCAGGTCGCATGCGCCCCCGCACCGATGTCGGCACACCCCTACGCTTCATGGCCGCATAGGGAAGCCTACCGAAGGTCCCAACGAGGCAGTTCGCATGCGCCCCCGCCACCCATGTCGGAACACCCCCCCAAGCTTCGTGGGCCCGTGGGGAACTCCACCGGAAGTCCCACTGGCGCAAGCCGCATGCGCCCTCGCCGCCGATGTCGGTGCACCCGCCGCACGTCTCGCAGCGCAGTAGGAAGCTCCACCGAAGGTCCCCGTGGCGCAGCCCGCATACGTGTCCCCCGCCCAGCACAGCACTTCTTGGCCCCATGGGGGGCTCCACCGACAGCCCCAATGGCCGCCGCCGCATGCGCCCCCCGTATGTTTCGGCACACGCCCCGCGCGCTTCGTGGCCCCATAAGGAGCTCCGCCGAAGCCCCCTGCGGCAGTGCTCAAATGCGGTCCGCGCGCCCATGTCGGCGCACCCCTCAGACGTTTCGTGGCCCCACAGGGAGCTCCACCGTAAGACGGTGCTCACCGCCACTGCGTTGCTCATCACTGCGTGCATGCTATGGTTGGGCCCTTCG